ACATGGTCATCATGCTCTCTGTTGTCTTCATTTTTCAGTCTCTCATGTTTGTCTCGTACCTAGATGAAGCTTTTAGGGGACACTTTTTTTTGTTTTTTTTTTTTTTTCCTATACAGCCTCACTATGTCATTCAGGCTGGCCTTTAACTCACTGTGTAGCCCAGGCTGGCCTCAAACTTGTGGCAGTCCTCTTTCCTCAGCCTCCCAAGACCCAAGTGCTGGAGTTGCATATGCACACCCAGCTAAGAATGCTTCAAAAAAGAAGTTCTGCATTACACTAAACATGAATGACTTATACAGCTGAATGTTACCTACAATGTGGATGATGAACAGGAACAGAATGTTAAAAGTCACTAAGTCACAGAACAAATTATTAGGATTCCATTTTTATGAAAGCAAAAACAGACAATAATAAGTAATATGTGGTTTATGGATGCACTTACTTGAATTGAGCATATTAGTTTTCTGTGGGTGGAAGGGAAGAGCTGCCACTGAGGAAGGACATGCAGGGAGCTTCAAACGTCCTAGAATGCATGATTTCTTAGCCTGGGTGGTACATGCATAGGTGTCTCAGTTTTGGTGTTCTTGCTTTGGTTTTTTTGTTTTGTTTTGTTTTCTTTCTTTCTTTAAAAAACCTTTTTAGCTGTCACATACAGTACTTTCATGAACACAGAATGAAAATCATTCTAGGGATAACCACCCTCAACCATCCCTTTCCCTTCTTCTTGAGGAGGTGCTCAATATCTGCTCTTTTCTGAAAGCTTTGGAAGTATTTTGGTTTGTTCAAGAGGCCCTCAACTAGTACTGAAATTGATTCTGAGAAAAGTGTCATTTCAGAGGTGGGGTGCAGAGTGAGCTCGGGACACAGAATTGTGCGTATACCAGCAATAGATAGAGGACCAGTTTATACTTCATGACACCTGTAGAGCCCTCTTTTCAGGAGTTATTGAAGTTGTAGCTTGGGAGAGCTCTGAAGGTCATGGATTGCTGTGGTCTGTATGGGCTGATAGCAGGAACCGAGAGCCTGTGGTGGGAGGGCCATACTGTAGGACTGCTGAAGCTGAAGAGGTGGAATGCACATCTTCAGATAGCCGCAGAAGAAAACTGAAGTGAAGAAGGGGTGAGAGGCCTTCAGGGATCCGTCATGGCATTGTACTTTAGTGTCAAACAAACTGGTGTTCTCTACCCAGGTTTTCTCACCAAGTAACTGACTTTTTGGGAAACCTCTGTAAACTTGATTTTCCTCATCCCTACAAGAAGATTAATACCAAGGTTGTACATTCCGGGATCATTTGTGTAGTTCATTACTAGAGAGTTTCACAAATCGTGTAGACTACCGGAAGCCATGATGAAGAGGCATAGTGTTCCTTTCTGAGCATGAAGCTGGTTCTTGGTGTTGCTTTGCTGCAACTGCCATTTGTCAGTGGGCAGGGAACACAGTTTGAGCAGCTTCCATTTTCTAAGAAAACAGCAATACCATTGCTTACTTTTAGAGGAGAGGCAGTATGGGGGGTGGTTTGAATCTAAGGCCCTCATACTGAGCTCCATCCCCATCTCTTTTTTTATTTTATTTTTTTATTTTGAGATACTCTCATACCCATTAAGGTTTCAAGTCTTAGAAACCACTAAGTTGCTAAGTTTCCCGGGCTGACCTCAAACTTAAAATCCTCCTACCTCCAGAGTGCTAGGAATACAGACATGTACCACCACATCCAACCACCTCTTAGAATTTTTGCCAAGATGTAAAACTGTCATGTATTTGATATGCTTGATACTTAAGAAATACTGAATAAAGTCTTCCCATCAGGTGTGGTGGTGCACTGTCTGTAATCCTAGCATTTGGGAGGCTGAGACTGCAAGTTTGAGCCAGTCTAGAGTATATAGTGATTCAAGGCAAACCTCAAGTACACAGCAAGACCATATCTCAAAAAAAAAACAATAAAATAGTCTGGCCACTGTATTTTTTTCATGATGCCCATCCTCGAGCTATAGAGTGTTTTGTTGTTGTTGTTGTTCTTTTGAGACAGGATCCCCCAGTCCTTGAATTTAAATCTGTCCTTGAACTCAGGGCACTCCTCCTGCCTCAGCCTCCTGAGTGTGTGACCATGCCCAGTTAGGAAGTACTTATTTTCCTACTTTTACTTGGCCCAGACTTACTCTGCAGAGCTTGTTTATCCTCTTAACTTTGATAAAACTTTGCTATCATTAAAAAGTAAGGAAGGGGGATTTAGCTTATTGTTTCTGTGGTCTTCCTTGCAAGCTCATGGACCCAAGTTCGATCCCTAGTACCCAAAAAACAATAATAATAATAGTAAATAAATAAAGTCAGGGAAAAAAAATAAAGTCAGGGCCAGGAGTTTAGCTCAGTGGTGCCACGAAAGCTCAAGGTTTTGTGTTCGATACCTGGTACCAAAAATTAAAATAAGACAAAATAGAGTCTAATCCCATCCCTTTTCCTTGCTAAAACAGATTAAAGGTACCTCCTATCCCAAGGGAATAAGCCTTTGATGTGAATGAAAGGAATGTCTAAAATTATTTACCTTTAGGAGCAAATGAGAAAACCAAAGGCTCCAAAAGCTCAGTATTATCAGAGGACAGGACTTGGGGAGATAGCTAAAAAGATGAGGTGCTGGAGCCAGAAAGTAGGCTCTGGGCCTGAAGATTCAGGTGCGGCAACCTGCGTTCTTCATCATTGCTGTGCAGTTGGCCTTGAGGAAGAGTTCAGTGTGGCCTGGACCTATTCCATGATCCCTCAGAAGCAATGGGAATGAGGACTCTGGAAGGAATGACTGAGCACATTGAGCTGTTTGAAATACTATGGCATGAGCAGAACAGATGTGGGCAGTAAAGGGAGGGAGGGATTTATGTCCCCAGGGAGTAAAGGAGAGGGGAGAGGCCTGGAAGCAGGGGTGAAGAACTTGGGGTGAGAATAGGCCTTGGTGCAAGGCAGTATATGGGGAAAGCCAGGCTTTACTTTAGAGGTTGAAGGCTTACACGCTTGAACCTGGATTCCTTGAACTGAGCTGACTGCTGCTGCCCAGAATCCTGTCCTGATGAGAAAGCTGGTAAATCCCCATGACTTGGCCCTCTAGTTCTTCTGTTGAGAGTCTGGCTCCACACCTTCTTGTACCTAAAAACTGCCTCCCATTCCCACATTTCTCCCCATCTACTGTTAACACATATTCACTAGGCCCTTGCTTCCTTCCCAAACCCCACCTTCTCAGGAAGCCTTCAGAACTTGCAGTCTGAGGATTCCTCACCCCTGACTCAGAGGTAACCCTCATACTCTTAGCCATACTCTCACTTTTTCTTTGTTCCTTCTCTCTCGTTTCTCCCTCCTTCCATCCTTCTCTGTGTGTGTGTGTGTGTGTGTGTGTGTGTGTGTGTGTGTGTGTGTTGTGGATTGAACCCAGAGCCTGGTGCATACTAAGCAAACACTCTACTCCTGAGCTTTATAACCCCATCCCTTTTTATTCTATTTCAAGATAGGGTTTCATTAAGTTGCCCAGGCTGGCCTCAAACCTTGCTCCTCTTACCTCAGCCATGCAAAAGTTGCTACAATTACAGGAATGCACCATCATTTCCAGCTACCTTTGCTCTTATCTTTGTAACCTCCAGAGCTTTGGGGCTGCTTCTCTGAGCTACAAGGACTTGTATTACCTTTTGTTTCTAGACTTTCCCCTTTTTAGTAAGATATTTATGATACTATCCCTGAAACGTGTGTCTTAAACTCCTTTTTTCTGCTCTGTGTGTGAAAACCTATAAAGGAAGACTGTTAGAGGAACAGAAAGAATCTAATTTAAGCCAGCTCCAGATGGCAGCTTCCCCAGGGGTCTGATGGGTGCTCTGGACTCTACAACAAACTTTAATCTTTGTCATCTTTCTTACCCATATTTTCTGTGTTGCCTCTTCTCTGTGTCTTAATTAGCCATATTTTTCCTTAGGGCCTAGACTGAGCTGTTCTGTGTGACTGTACACCTGAGAATCAGCAGTCCTCCTTAAAACTGAATCCTTGGCCTGAGAAACCCACATCCACTGTCCACCTGTCACCCATCCTGTTTTGGAGAACTGTAGAACAGCAAGCTCCCAGTGTCCATATAACCCACTTAGCACCTAACTCAGATGTTGCTTTGCTGGCCACATCACCAGCTAAGACTTCAGCTGAAACTCTGGTGCTGCTTCTGGTGATCTCTAGGGTTGAGCTAGCTTCTGTCAAATCAGGAAAAAGTCTGTAAGTTCAGTAATGGAGCAGACTCTATACCCAGTCTTTTTTTAGTGCATTTTCTTGGAAGACACCTAAAAGGGAATGTGAATTTTGCCCTCTCCTGCCAGCTGATAGTTTAGATACGTCTTGTTTTTTAAATACTTATACAAAGATTGTATTTATGTTGTTTCTCTCCGAGGGTCTATGAAGTTACTTTGACTTCCCTAGAGCACAGCGCTCAGCATATAAATTGGGTCACATAAGCACTACTGACTGTCAGTTACATTTTTTTCTTGCTGAGACAAAATACTCAACACTCAAAAGTTAAAGGAAAAAAGGTTTATTTCGGCTCACAGTTTGTAAAGGTTTCAGTCTATAATCCACTGGCTCTAAGAGTGGCCTGGCAGAGGGGCATCACAGAGGAAAAACAGTTCATGACAGGCAGAAGACAGCAAAAGCAAGCCAGAGATAAACTGTAAGTAACTAGTAGCAAGCCTCCTTCTCTTCCTTACCTTGTATCCAGGCCATCCACCCTTAGGGTGATAGCACTCACAGCCGTAATCCTACCATTGCCCCATGAATCAGTCACCATGAATCAGTCACCATGAATCAATCTGGATCCACCACTTCTGAAAAAGCCCTGCTTATGACCACGTGAGGCTTTGGGGTGACATCTAAACACACCATAATGCTGACATTGGTCTGCAGTTAGCACTCTGGTGTCTGCAGGAGAACATTGAAAACTGGCCTCCAGGACCCAGCTCTGCAGCTCTGACAGCTCTCTCCCTTACTTTCAGGGAATGTGCATTTCTTCTCCAGTGGCCTTTTGTTTTCTCACCGTCATCATGGAAATATCATCATCTCTAAGGATCACATGAATTCTATTTCTTTCTATGATGGGGTAAGTGTCTTTCTTTTTTGCAGTCCTAGGAATTGAATCCAGAACCTTTACACTGAACTTTATCCCAGCCCTTTTGATTTTGAAATGGTCTCAGTAAGCTGATAAATTATTTCGCTTAATCAGTTCTTCAGGATTTCCCATCAGGTTCATATGCCCAAGTCATTCATCCCAAAGAGAACTGGGAAGTAGACTGAAAAGGTTTCCAGTGAGTGGCCCCTCACAGGCAGTCTCTGACCCACAGACACAAAGGCCCATCCACTTCAGAACTAGAAAGAGGCATCATCCTTTGGCATTGGTGGAGCTCCACTTACTACCTTAGCCCATAGGAAAGGATTATAAGTGGGCCATAGAAAGGGAAGTGACTAACTTCCCATGAAGGCTTAGCCCACCTCCCTCATATACTCAGGCTTAATCTCTAGCTCCCATCATTTAAGTTTGCCCACTTACTCTTCCTTAGGCAAGAATAGCCGTGAACCCCACCCCCAAGCCTGTACTCACTGGCTAAACACAGCATACCTCTCAGTGGGACATAGCAGCAGAGGCCAGGCTTTCTTTCCACTTAGCCTGGTGTCAGCCCTAAAGCCAGCCTCAAAGTGATGTCTTGACAGAGATGGGTCAGATTGCTCAGAAGATGAGTTCGTGAGCAAGTCTTTCTTCCACGTAAAACCTGTTGTCATAATTACTTCAGAAATGCAGGCAGACCAGCTGGGCAGATCAAATGGTCCTGTTAGAGAAAAGCTTTGGTGTTAGCTTAAAGGAATCTTCCATTATCAGGGAGGAAAGGGAATCTCATTTAAGAAACAATACTGGAACAATAGGTTAATTCTTATCTCTCAAAAAATCAAAGTAAGAGGCCGGGGATTTAGCTCAGCGGTTCGGTGGCCTGCCTTGCAAGCGCAAGGACCTGAGTTCAATCCCTGGTACCAA